TTGAATAAGTATGGTGAAAGGATACAACCCTGACACACCCCCTTCTTGATTTTAAACCATGCAGTGTCCCCTTGTTCTGTTTGAACAATAGCCTCCTAGTCTATGTACAGGTTCCTCAAGGGTACAATTAAGTGTTCTGGAATTCCCACTCTTCTCAATGTTATCCACAATTTGTTATGATCCATACAAACAAATGCTTTGGCATAGTCAATAAAACACAAGTTAACATCTTTCTGGTATTCTTTGTTTTGAGCCAAGATCCATCTGACATCAGCAATGATATCCCTGTTCCATGTCCTCTTCTGAATCCAGACTGCACCTTTGGAAGTTCTCTGTCAATATACTGCTGCAAACGTTTTTGAATTATCTTCAGTAAGGTTTTACTTGCATGTGATATTAACAACATTGTTCAATAATTTCCACATTCTGTGGAATCACCTCTCTTTGGAATGGGCACAAATATGGATCTCTTCCAGTCAGTTAGCCAGGTAGCTGTCTTCCAAATCTCTTGCAATAACTGAGTGAGTGCCTCCAGTGGGGCATCCGTTTGTTGAAACATCTCAATGGGTATTCCGTCAATTTCAGGAGCCTTGTTCTTCGCCAATTCCTCCAGTACAGCTTCGACGTCTTCATTCAGTACCATTGACTCTTGATCATATGCCACCTCCTGAAATGGATTAACATCGACCAGTTCTTTTTTGTACAGTGACTCTGTGTATTCTTTCCATCTTCTTTTGATGTTTCCTACGTCATTCAATATTTTGCCCATATAATCTTTCAATATTGCAACTCGAGGCTTAAATTTTTTCCTCAGTTCTTTCAGCTTGAGAAATGCTGAGCACGTTCTTCCCTTTTGGTTTTCTAACTCTAGGTCTTGTACATTTCATTGTAGTAATTGGCTTTGTCTGCTTGAGCTGCTCTTTGAAACCTTCTGTTCAGCTCTTTTAACTTGTCATTTCTTCCATTTGCTTTAGCTACTCTCTGTTCAAGGACAAGTTTCAGAGTCTCTTCTGACATCCATTTTGGGCTATTCTTATTTTCTCATCTTTTTAATGACCGCTTGCTTTCTTCATGAGTGATGTTCCTGATGTCATCCCATAATTCTTCTGGTTTCCGGTCATTGGTGCTCAATGCATCAAATCTATTCTTTAGATGGTGCGATGGTTCTGTTTGTGTGTCAACTTGGCTGGGCCTGGTTAAGTGGCTGGGAAGCTGGTGGTAGTTATTCCCCATGATGAGACTGGCAATCAACTCCATGGTGGGATCTACCACAAGCAGCTTAGTAGCTGCCTTTGGGATATGGTCTGGTTCTTGTATTTAAGGAGAAGCTTTGAGAATGGTCTCTAGCCTATGGCACGCTTGGACCCTGCATGTAGTCGTGTTGTTGTTCAGCAGCCTGCCATGCTCTTCTGACCTTGGGACTTACAATGGACTTAAGTTAATGGCCTGCTGTGTGGTTTGGTAACATCAGGACTTGTCAGCCTTGGGGTTTCTCAGCCTCAGCAGCCAGCAGCTGTCTGAGTGAAGAAATGCCTCTAGCTCCAATGGGCTGGGAGCAGGAGGCAGAGCTGGACTCCAAGGTTGAGGGACTTTCACCCAGCCCCTAGAGCCTGGCACTTTGAACTTGGAATTCAAGGCTCCAAATTGTAATAATAAACTCCTGCTTGTTAAAGCCATCCCATTTGTGGTATATTCTTGTCAGAGTGGTACTAGGTAACCAGAACAGATGGTCTCTAAATTCAGGAGGGATATATTCCAGGTCATATTTTGGCTGTTGTGGACTTGTTTTCATTGTCTTCAACTTCAAGTTGAACTTGCACATGAGCTATTGATGATCTGTTCCACAATCAGCTCCTAGCCTTGTTTTGGCTGAAGATAGTGAGCTTTTCCATCGCCTCTTACCACGGATGTAGTCAATCTGATTCCTGTGTACTCCATCTGGTGACGTCCACATGTATAGCTTTTGTTTGTGTTGTTGAAAAAATATATTTGCAATGAATAAGTCTGTTGGTCTTGCAAAATTCTATCATGTGATCTCCAGTGTTATTTCTATCACTAAGACCAAATTTTCCAACTACCAGTGATTTTTCTTTGTTTCCAACTTTTGCATTCTAGTCACTAGCATAATTAACACATCTTGGTTGCATGTTTGGTCAATTTCAGACTGCAGAAGTTGATAAAAATCTTCAATTTCCTCATCTTTGGCTTTGGTGGTTGGTGCATAAATTTGAATAATAGTCGTATTAACTGGTCTTCCTTGTAGGTGTACGGATATTATCCTATCACTGACAGCATTGTACTTCAGGACAGATCTTGAAACATCCTTTGTGAAGATGAATGCCACACCATACCTCTTCAAATTGTCATTCCCGGCATAGTAGACCACATGGTTGTCTGATTCAAAATGGCCAAAACCGGTCCATTTCTGCTCACTATGCCTAGGATATCAATCTTTATGCATTCCAGTTCATTTCTGACAACTTCCAATTTTCCTAGATTCATACCTCGTATATTCCATGTTCTAATTATTAATGGATGTTTGCAGCTGTTTCTCCCCAATTTGAGTCATGCCACATCAGCAAATGGAGGTCTTGAAAGCTTTACTTTATCCATATCAGTAAGGTTGCTCCTACTCTGATGATGGATCTCTTTCCTAGTCATATTTTGAAAGGCTTCTGACCTAAGGGGCTTGTTCTCCTGCACTGTATCAGATAAGGTTTCCAGGCTATTCATAAAGTTGTGCAGTGATGCATCAGACAATGTTTCTCTGCTATTCATAAGGTTTTCCCTGGCCAATTCTTTGAGAAGTGGATGACCTCTTCCTTCTTCCTAGTCTGTCTCAGTCTGTAAGCTGCACTGAAACCTGTGCACCATGTGCAACCATACCAGCACTTGAAACACCGGTGGCACAGCCTCAACCCTCACAACAACACACAAGCCACAGTAGTATGACAAACTGACAGACAAGTTTGTCTTGCTTAGCTGTTTGAAACTTTCTGCCCTCCCCTTACCCTGGCACTTTTCTGCTCTATTGTCCCCCGTGGTTCTCTTTTCCCTAGCTGGTGGCTGTGGGGCCTGGGTCTCTCCCCTTACCTGGATCCCTGGCTGCTACTCTACTCTGTCATCTCCCTGGCTTCTCTTTCACCTGCTTTCCTGGATGGTGGGGGTGGGGCCTGGGTCCCTCCTTCTCCTTACCTGGATGCCTGGCTGCTGTAAGTAATTACAACTTATTATGGTCTGTAGAACTCTGGGAGGCTTTGGTGGAAACTTAGTATTCTAGAAACTGGTACACTCTTCTGACAATGAAAGATTTTAACAGCAAGAGGACCACTGTTTATTCTCCCAAGAGATGAGAGTATGAAACCCTCAATGATCAGCTACAAGCTGTGAATGAGTGTGTTGACAGCTGCATTGTGTTTTATGTTGGGTGTATTTATATAAAAAGCTTGAAGGAAATGTCTTCCCTTGAACTGAAACAATAAGCAGGATTCTATCACATCTCTGTGGGACACCAATAAGAATGTCCCACTCTCACATGCAAAAGGAAAATCAACCATTTTTCAGTTTAGGGTCAAATTTCTCTATCCTGTAATACTATGAATCCTGCAGTAGGTCAAAATCACAAATGCTCTGTGCTCTGAATAGTCTTTTCTGGCCATTTTAGGCATGTCAACTCTGGTCATCCCAGACCCATGCTAAGAACTTTTGAAATTTTGACATTATTAACATCCAATATTTAAAAAGGATACAGTAAATTTAGGGTCAAGAAGACCATATTCCCAATCAAGTTGCTCTGAGATTGATAAAATCTAATAGAACCTTCAAGTATTCCTAATCTCAAAAAAAATGAGGTTTTTGAATACAGTAGAGACTTTGATTGATTATCTCTTGGGGTTGAAATCAACCTCCTCTACCAACACCAAAATTTTTCAGCTTCAGGATTATGGTTTTGTGATATTTGTGAATAAAGCCTCAAATATAGGTTGAGTTTCCTTCTTTCCATAAAGCTACAGTTTTGACAAAGTATTTCCTAAATTTGCACTTCTCACAAACTTTCGGTTTTAAAACTTTTTTTCCTTTTGTTTTATTTGTATATGTATGTTTGTATAGATCTATTTTGCACAAGGACAAAAGATAGCATAAGGATGTTAGGGACTTCTGGTTTTATATTTGCTGTTTTGGGCAAGTATTTTATAAAAGGGTTCAGAAAAATATCATATTCCTACTGTGGTCATAGATGCCATTGGCCAGTTCACAAATGTGTAGATACAATGGCCTTGTGCCAAGAACTCAGCCAGGGAAGAGAATGACTTGCACACAAGCCAAACTACTTCCATGGGCCTACTCATCTACCAGATGTAGAAGTAAAGGAGATTTCATGTGTGTCTTCTATAGATAAAAAAAATTGGTGGGAGAATATAGATTCACAAATGCCCCAAAGACAATGTTCTGAATGACTGTCTAGTAGCATGAATTTCTGAGTGCATTACCAAGTTATCTTTCACCACCTCTCTTTCTCTAACACATGGCTATAATAACTATTTAGTTACATTTGGAAAATAAGTGAAAGAAAATGTTTTAGTATATTCTGACAGATTGTTTACAAGCATGTCGGAAAGTCTACTTTCCCAAACAAGTACAATTTTTATACTGTCCACTAATAGAAAATAGTTCCTGGAAAAAGGAGACAATGTTTGCAAATGAAAAACTCAGACACCGAACACTTTGCTAGCCAGGTTCACTCTCAGGGAAACTATGTATTGATGTGAGTGTAATGGGATATGCAATCGCCATCAAGACTGTTTTTGTGGGTAATTCCTCACATCTTTCAATGATCTTTGTAAGAAATCACATTCAGAAACATCATATGAACATGGTTAGATGCCTCAAGGCTTGGTTAATGAATAACCTTCTTTTAAATTGGCGTCTTGCTAGTCTTCGAAGTCTATTTTTGTTCTTGTCAGCCTCTCTAAAATTCCAGGAAAAAACCCAGTCTTAAAATGCCTATCAGCAGGAACAAGCTTGTTTTACTACTAGGAATAATCTGTTTGGAACAAGGAAAATGTGCAACGCTCTCTCTCCCCAATGGTAAGTTCCAAATGAACTCTCTAGCTACCGTTGCCTGAAGGAATAACCTTTGCTGGCAATGGGCATCAAAATTCCATTCCATATTTCTTTGGGAAAATGGCAGAAGCAAGCATATTTTAGAGATACATATATATTTTTTCATGTATTTATTTTGGACTTTTTTCCTTCAGTAGCAAGTGAAATGGAGTGAAACACTTGCTTAATACAATTTGGACATAGTCAAGAGAAAATTCAGATTATTCATTTATTTGGACACATTACACAAACCCATCCATGTGTTCTAAGCAAATTCTGGAAATCACCAGGGGTTTGGAAGCATTTGTTACCCTTTGGGAAATTATCTTTCTGGAAAATACAAAGTACATTCACTGTAGTATCTTACAAATTGTCTTTTTCCTCAAGTAGCTCAGGCTGAGAACAGTTCTTAGCAGGCTTCTCAGTGGTCATACTTGTGCCAACTTCAAGAATCATGGTGTTTTCTGCCTTTGCTTCAGTGACTTCAGGAAATAGTCAATTTTGTCTCTAAAGTATTTATGATTCATTCAACTAAAACAGAAAATAAACCTTTGATCCAAATGTCATATTTGTACAAAGTTGAGAATAATAATAATAAAACAGAGTTATAACCATGCTCTGCCATTAATTAGCTGTGAATCTATTTGATTCCTAGTCTTCTCATCTGTAATGTAGGGGTAACAGTGCTTAATTCACAGATGTAGCATGAGAATTTATATGGAAAGTTTTGTGTATTTTCACATATTAATCTAAATATGTTCAAGGATATGTGCTCAAAAACTGTGTGTGTTCATCCATTCCACTTTTCTAATTGACTACTGTATACCAAGAATTATGCTGCTGTTGTTATGTGCTGTCTAGTCGGACCCGACTCATAGTGACCCCTTCTTGGGTCTCGAGACAGTATCACTACAGAAGTAGATTGCCCAACCTTCCAAACTTGAAAATACAGAGATGATCAAGACACAAGGTTTTTTTTTTTCCTTTTCTCTCTCTCAAATAGTTCAGTAATAGTCCAGTCAGGGAGATAAATACATCCATTATTACAATACTGCATGGCAAGAACTAAAAAGGGACAAGGAAAGAGTGCTACATAGCACAGAGGGGAAATGTTTAAGGTAGTTTGACGAGATCAAGGAAGATTTCAGAGTTGTGATTTCCAACCTGAGGAATAAATATTAGAGGATCAGCTAAGCAAAGAAGTAGGATAAATATGAGGCTCTCCTGGAGAACAAGTGGAAAAGAATGGCCTGTAGTAGGGACAGAGGATGAGCTATCCATGAATTACCAGGCAGTCATAAATTCTTGAATCTAGACCATCTCTTACCTGGTGAGTTGAAAAACACATTCAGGACAAATAAACAAATGTAGATTTCTCGGAGATAAAGTCTCCACAAAGAAGAAAATGTTATTTCTTTCATTATCTGGCAACTCTTCTATTCCAACTGCACTCCAGTGTGTGAATCAGGACATTGTCTTCTATTCACTCCCACTCATCCTCATAGGAACAATGTATTTCTCAAAGGAACATCCCCACAGAGAATTAAATTCAATAAAGATTTATCGATATCTGACTGTGTTCCAAGCACCATAAACCATGATCTCAGATTCAGTCTCATGGATGAAGCAGAAGAGATGTACACACATTTATAATCTAATGCAATGTAATACAGACCATGGTATCATCAACAAATAAATCGAGCAACTCCTGTGTGTCAGGAACAGTGATAGATATTATGGAAATAGGTATTTCTAAGGTTCAGTTCCTGTCTTTGAGGAGCCCTCTGTCCACCTGGAGAGAAAGGCATAGAAATAACCATAATAGTATAGTAAATATCGTGGGAGAAATACAGACTGCTGTGGGGGGACCAGTGGGTAAACCTCTCCCTAATATTCCTGTTCTACCTAACAAACACTGAGGAATGCCTTCCACTGCTAATTACAGAAAATAACAGTTAATTCAAAGCCATTTTGTGGTCTTTCTACATGTCCATGTCCTATAGCATTTTCTTGCTTACAAGACTTTTTTTTTGTATCCCTAAGTCCTAGGAGCTACCTAGCTACTCAATTTTTGCCTTATCTTTTTCCTAGCTCCCTCCTGTGGGCAGAGTCTTGTTAAGCCACATCTTTGGAATTATTTTAACATTTTCAGTCGTATTGTTGGTGGAAGCCAGGTGGAGAAAGGTTCCTATCCCTGGCAGGTGAGTCCCAGGGAAAATCCTCTGGTGGATGGACTGTGAGCTGTCTCAGAGCTGGATCTCTCAGAATCATATGCTTTCACCTGTTGCTCCCTCCTGCCAGGCTCGTTATCAGATATTTCAGGATCTCTTATCAAAGATCCAAGTTCCTCATGATGTGCATCAGCTGAGTTCCAGAAAAGGTGTGTTAAGAATAGTTACCAGAGTGTTGATTTGGCCCACTAATTAGAAATGCCATTCCAAACCATCAGCTCCTAAGACAAATATTCTAGTACTCTCTCACTCCCATCAAGTCAAATCTGACTCACAGCAACCCCTGTTGAGTTTCCAAGGCTGGAAATCTTTATGGAAGCAGACTGCCTCATCTTTCTTCCAGAGTGGCTGGTGGTTCAAACTACCAACTTTTTGGTTAGCAGCCAAATGTCTTAATTATTACACCATCAGAGCTTCTTATTCTACTACAAGAAGCTGAAAAAATTTTTAAATTTATAATTTTAAAAATAATTTTACTATTCAATAAGTATGTTAAAAATATATTGATTTTTTTTCATAGTTAAAGAAGACTGGGGAAGTCAAAGGTGTCATATCCACAGATATAATTTGTGTTTGGGGTGGAAGTTTGCACTGATACCACAGAACCTCACAGGAATAGCCAAGAGAGCTTCTTTCTTAGTAACCAATGTCCTAACAATTTTGCCTCAATCTGATCTCCTGGTTCTTCCATCCCATGGAAATGACTTTGTTCTTTAGCTCCTAGCCAAAGGTATTTTTGCTTTATTGCCTTTGAAACTCTATAACTACCTTGACCTTGAGAGCTAGGTTATATCCTTGCCTCTTATTTTTGCAAGTAGAGTGATCCCTCTGTATTTCACTTCTCTTCAGTAAACAATGTTAAGTCAATGAATACTTGGTAATGGTTGGTTTACTGAGTATATGTTCAGTTGTGTAATTTGATTAGTTGATTAACGAACTATGTAGTTGAATAGCTGAGTGATCAGTTGGTTACTCAGTCAGTTGGTTGGCTAGTCAAATTATAGTCAACACTGGCTCACTGAATTCTGTTTACTTACTCTGGTCTATTGTCTTCTCTGCAGTGCATTTTGTTTTTCTATTATTCATTAAAGAATTTTGAGTTAAAGGAGGGTAATTCTAGTAAATCACTTTTTTTTTTCTAATTGCAACCATGTGAATATATTCATTAAAAGTATTCACTTGTACACTGTAAATCATTTTAAGTCAAATCAAATATCATGAACAGGATAAACCAAAGATAGAAAGTATGTTGATGAGGTGGATTAAGGACTAGGCTTAACAAAGTTTTAGAAGTCAAGTAGTTAAGAATGTGAGAATATGGTAGGTCTACACTATTTCCCTGAAGGGCTTGGAGGAACTGGAACATGCATCTGAAAATCCCCTAGCCCTCAACTATCTTCCAGATATCTTCAGCTGAACTCTGCGATAGCTTATATACTTTTTCTTTCTTCACACACACTGGTTATACTGTTAGAGCAACAGGTCCAGGTAAACAGTATTATAAAAGTAATAAATTAATATCAATAGTATTGACTACTAACTGTACTAAAATCCTTATAGATAATCATCTCAAATTAACTTAATTAACTTAATTAATTAATTAATTTCCTTCAGGACAAGGGTGGGAATGTTCTGATTCCAATTCTGCTCTTCTTTCTGTGCTAAAGTGGGATGGGCTTTACTCTTTCACTCCAAGATTCCTGATATTTATGAGTAAGATATCTGGATCGTTTTTTCAGAATATGTTAAACTGTGAAATTTGGGGGATTTCAGGGCATAAACGTGCTCCCATTTAAGGTATTTGAAATTCAGGTATCTCTGAAACGAAAGCAGAAGCATATCTGTGGCGGAACCATCATCTCTCCACAATGGGTGATCACAGCTGCTCACTGCGTAGCAAACAGGTAGGGGAGGCCTAGCCTCTGGATGAAAGTCAGTTCTCTTCCCTCTCCCTTGATATCAACTGACATAAGTCTTTTAAAATATGGTCCTGTGTGATGGATGCTGTGGCTGAGTATTGTTCTAGTAGGGGGACATCCTAATGGCAAAACATAATAGGACTCAGTGACTGACTTCTTTCAGATAGCATTGCCCCAGATATAAGGGGAATAGAATGTTTTCTTTTCCATATTATATAAGCTCTTTAGATTACAAAGCCTAAGGGAGGTAAGGAGAAGATCCCTGCCTCGTGTTGTAATCAGTTTGAAAGCTCAGAGTGCATGTATTCTCTGGGACATATGAGTAATGGTCCTTCATAATAAGCACTATGCATAAAGTCTCTGACATTGAAGCAGCATACTAGTAGAGACTCATTAATCATTCCAAAAGAATCACATTGACAGTAAGTCCAGGTCAACCTCTTGAGGTAGTTGAGTAAAGTCCTCTGTTGTGGAAGACCTATAAGTTATAATGTATATGCATTTTTAGATATTTTACAAATAAAATATACTAGTACTCCACTGGAATTGAGAACCTCTGCATTTTTTCTAGTAATGTTAGAATCATTCTTATTTTACCTGCTCATCAGTCATACACTTTACATGGATGATTCATATCATTTTGAAGAGACCAAGTTGTCAACCATTATAATGTACTCAGAAGTTCAATGAAATCTACCCACTTTACTGCTTCCTCTTCACAGAAATATTGCATCAACTTTGAAAGTTACTGCTGGAGAACATGACTTGAGCCAGACAGAACCAGGAGAGCAAACCCACACCATTGAAAACATCATCATACACCCAAATTTCACCACCAAGAAACCAATGGACTATGATATTGCCCTTTTGAAGATGTCTGGAAACTTCCATTTTGGTAAATATTTCAGGCTAGGAGGAAGCCCTTGGCTTACCCTGAATTATCTACCTCATATGTTCCAAACTTCTGTTCCATAGCGCAATCCTGGCAACACATGCTATGTAGCATATGCCTAATAGTTCTGGGTCATGAACTTTGAGACAGGAGTTTGAGATAGAAGACCTCTATTTGAAATTTGTTTTGCTTTGGCTCTGGATATAGGATTGTGTGGAGTCAGGAGAGGATCTTTCTTTGACAAATGGCTCCTGGACATACCAGAAAGAAATGGCACAATTCCACCAAAGTTTCTGGGGGACCATTTGGATCTTAACTGGTGAATGGTTTTATGAAGTCCTCTGCCCCACTGATGAAATAAGCCCTGCATTGCTTTTTTTCTGCAGGCGAGTTTGTGGGGCCCATGTGTCTTCCAGAGCCAGGGGAGCGATTTGAGGCTGGATTTATTTGTACAACTGCAGGCTGGGGCCGATTGACAGAAGGTAAGAACTTCTATGTCATTTTTCCTAATCAGAGGTCAGAACTTTTTGATGGATAACCAGAAAAGAGAATTTTTTAACCTATTTTTCAAAACAGTCATGTAAACATGTTTAAAGACAGAGAACATTATATTGTATTTAGAATTTCAGATTTTTCCTAAAAACATACATCTGAATGAGGCATCTTCAACTCAGAAAGGGTAAAAGAGTGCCTCAGCAGGGCTCCTGTCTGTGTTTCCCAGATGGCCTCCTCCCACAAGTCCTACAGGAAGTAAACCTGCCCATTTTGACCCAGGAAGAGTGTGCAGCAGCTCTGTTAACTCTAAAGAAGCCTCTCAGTGGGGGAACCTTTCTCTGCACAGGCTTCCCCGATGGAGGAAGGGATGCATGTCAGGTAGGCATGAACTGCTGCGCTGACAGGCCTTGGGCAGGGCTTCCTTTGGCTTTGTTACTAAGCGCTGAAAGAAGGTTGGAGGGAGAAATGGACTCTGGAAAGAAGGGTCAGGAATGACAAAGGATATAAAGAAAAGAAAGGGCCAATTTAAGTAACTTGCTTTTACCAGGGATTGTGAACTCAGAGGAGGTATTCTGCCTTCTCCAAAAGACCAAATGATAGAGCTGATGCTAGCAATGGGCTCAGGGTCCTCCTACCCCTGACATGGCTGGTTCTATAATATTAATAGACTTTCCAATTGTGGCTAATGGGGACCTTATTTTCCCTCCACTCTTCCTGCTGATCAAGACCTGAGGTCAATTTTATAGGTGGGTAAATCTTATGAGTCTACAGAATGAGACAAGGGAAGGAAGAAAGTCTGATGTTTTGACGAAGGCCTAGGATGGGGATAAAGGAGATGGAATTGATAGGCTCAAGTGGTACTTGAGGATTATATGGGAACTGTGCTTGGCTGTTCTCCCAGACCCTGAGTGCCTGTGATCAGAAGTGAAGGACTTCCCATGATCCTCATCTGGCATCCTTGTGGGGGAAAGGAGTGAGCACTCTGGGGCACAGACACTGACAACGATAGTAACAGAGGCTTTTGCCCCTGCAGGGAGATTCAGGTGGTTCCCTCATGTGCCGGAATAAGAAAGGAACCTGGACTCTGGCTGGTGTGACTTCCTGGGGCATGGGCTGTGGTCGAGGCTGGAGAAGCAATGCAGAGAAAAATGATCGAGGATCCCCTGGGATCTTCACAGACCTTAGTAAAGTGCTTCCTTGGATCTACAGACACATCCAAACTGGTAATGAAGCCAGGAGAGAAGGTCAAGAAGCTGCAATTCTGTTAAGGCCAGAGAGAGGATCTGTTTCTGTTCTCAGTGTAGCACATAAGAATGGTGATATTTACTAATAAGTCTACAACAAGAGGGAAATATGGTGTGTGGTACTGCATAAAGATACTCAATGAAACATGAATCTGTCCATCCTAAACTTTCTCAAATTTGCCTTTAATGAAACTATCTTACCTGGTGGTATGTTTTTCCCATGTATATCTCAATCTTACCAGCAAGATTCAGCAAGCATAGATCAGTGGTTCTCAACTAGGGGAAATTTTGCTCCCCACCCCCACAGGATAGTGGGAGCTCTGGTGGTATAGTGCCTAAGGCATTTGATTGCTAACCAGAAGGCTGGCAATTCAAACCCATCAGCCACTCCTTGGAAGGAAGATGGGGCAATCTATTTCTGTAGTGATACCACCTCAGAAACCCAAGGAGGGGTCGCTATGAGTTGGAATTGACTTGATGGTTTTTTTTTTTTTTTGATCACAGGATAATGTTTGGAGATATTTTTGGTTGTCACAACTGGGGTGGGGGTTGCTACTGGCATCTAGTGTGTAGAAGCCAAAGATACTGCTAAATATTTGCCAATGCATAGGACAGTTCATTGGCCCCCCATCCCCACCCCACACATACACATCAAAGAAACTATTCCCAAATGAGATACCAAGGTTGAAAAGCCTAGCATAAATCTAAGTACAGTGAGTCTGAAAAGGCCTGGGACCATATACATCCCTCCCCTTTTAATGGATTTTATTTTCTAGAGCAGTTTTAGGTTTACAGAAAATCTGCACAAAAAGTACAGAGCTCCCATATAACCTCTCTCCGTTCTGCATACTGTTTTTCCTATTATTAATACCTTTCATTAGTGTGGTACATTTGTTACAACCGATGAATCAAACTGTTGTTCATTGCTGTCAAGTCAATGCCAACTCATGGAAATCCCACGTGTGCAGAGCAGAACTGTCCCATAAGGTTCTCAAAGGTGTGACGTTTCAGAAGAAGGTCACCAGGCCTGTCTTCCAAGGCATCTTTCAATGGGTTCAAATCACCAACCTTTAGGCTAGTAGATGAGTGCTTAAACACTTGCACCACCCAGGGTCTCCAAACCAAAGTTAATACATTATTATTCACTAAAGTCCACAGCATAGTGCCTAAGGCACTTGACTGATAACCAGAAGGCTGGCAGTTCAAACCCACCAGCCACTCCTCGGAAGGAAGATGGGGCAATCTACTTCTGTAGTGATACTGCCTCAGAAACCCAAGGAGGGGTCGCTATGAGTTGGGTCCAACTTGACGGCACATAACAACAACAATAAAGCCCACAAGGAGGGGTTGCTATGAGTCGGGGCCGACTCGATGGCACATAACAACAACAAACAACAAAATCCACAGTTTACATTAGGGTTCACTCTGTGTTCTACATTTCTATGGGTTTTTGACAAATTCATGATGTCATATATTTACCATTGTAGTATCACACAGAACAGTTTCACTGCCATAAAAATGGCCTGTGTTCCACTTATTTATTCCTCCCCCCAACCCCTAAGTCCCTAGCAAACATTCATCTTTTTACTGTCTTTCTAGTTTTGCCTTTTCTAGAATGTCATATAGTTAGAATCATATAGTATGTAGCTTTTTCAGACTAGCTTCTTTCAGTTAGCAATATACATTTAGTTAGTGTTATTCAGATTATGTATGTCTTTTCATAGTCTGATAGCTCATTCCATTTTATTGCTGAATAATATCCCACTGAATGGATGTATCAGAGTTTGATTTTGCATTCACTCATTAAAGGACATCATAGTTGCTTCTAATTTTTGAAGTTTGTGAATAAAGTTGCTTTAAGCATTCATGTGCAGGTTTTTGTGTGGACATAATTTTCAATTTCTTTGGGTAAATACCTATAAGCAAGATTGCTGGATCACATGGTAAGCCTATGTTCGGCTTTGCTAGAAACTGCTAGACTTCCAAAACACTTACAAACAAATAAAATGTTGTTTTTCCACCAGTAATGAATGAAAATTTCTGTGATCCACATCTTTCAGCATTTGGTGTTGTCAGCATTTTAGATTTTCACTATGCTAATAGGTATGTGGTAGCATAGTGGCTAAGACACTTGCCTGCTAACCAGACGGCTGGCGGTTCAAATCCACCAGCCACTCCTCGGAAGGAAGGTTGGGCAATCCTACTTCCGTAGTGATACTGCCTCGGAAACCCAAGGAGGGGTCGCTATGAGTTGGGTTTGACTCGATGGCGCATAATAACAACAACAACAACAATAGGTATGTAGGAGCTCTGGTAGCATAGTGGCTAAGGCACTTGACTGCTAACCAGAAGGCTGGCGGTTCAAACCCACCAGCCACTCCTCGGAAGGAAGATGGGGCAATCTACTTCCGTAGTGATACTGCCTCGGAAACCCAAGGAGGAGTCGCTATGAGTTGGGTCCGACTCGACAGCACATAACAACAACAACAACAACAACAATAGGTACGTAGTGTTTCAGATTTTAGCCATTTGCAGTGCAGTGAATTACTTGGTATGGTTTTTCTAGCCATAGTCTTTGTAACTCCCACCAGATTACTGGGTGGGACCATGCAAATAAGGTGTATAGAACTCTGATGTTGGAATTGGTTAGTTTTGTGACTCTGCCAGGCTTAAAATGAGCCCTCCTAGAGGCAGAGAGGGGATCTCACTGCCATCAAGAAAGAAGAGCTGGAGGTGAAGTAGAGCACGTCCTCAGACCTGAGATCCCTGTGCTGGACCTCTTTGGCTGAGAGACACCCTGGTGGAGAGACGCCCTGGCAGAGAGACACACCAGTGGAGAAATGATGGCAGTGGTAGCAAGAGGTATGAGACAGAGTGGCAGTCCTACCTGGCCCACAGAGGCAGAGGCCAGGCCGAGAGGCCAAGGGCCAGAGTGGCGTGTGTGAAAGCACAGCAGAAAGGAGACTGTCCTTATCAAAGAATTATATCCTGAGTGCGTTTCTGAACCTGAATTGTAGCCTATTACTTCCCTAATAAACCCCATAGTTGTGAGTATTGTCTGTGAGTTCTGTGTGGCCACTGCAATGAATTATCAAACCCAGCAGAGAAGTAGTGAGTACTGTGGGAAGGATGGTTGGTGTCAAAGGTGGTAAAAGGCTGGAGGGTGGCCACATATCTGGCCTCAAAGGAATAAGTCTTGAGCTGCTGATGGCGATTCTGTCTTCCTCTTGTGAAGTTAGAGGAGGTCAGAGGATGCTGCCTCCATGTGCTTTTAGCACCATTCTAATAGTTGTATGTGGCATCTCATTGTTTTAACTTGCAATTCCCTAATGACATATGACATTGAGAATCTTTTCATGTGCTTATTTACCATCTTATGTTCATATGCATTATGTGCCATTCATATGCTTATTTTCCATTCTTCGATGAGCTGTCTATTCATATATTTTGCTTATTTTGTAATTGAGTGTTTTGTTTTAACTGTTGTTTTTAAGAATTCTTTGTATATCTTGGATACAAGTCCTTTATCAGATATGTGTTTTGCAAATATTTTCTCTCAGTCCGTGACTTGTATTTTCATTCTCTTACATATATTTTTCACAGAGCAAAAAAAACCAAACTCACTCCCATGGAGTCAGACCCTACTCCTAGTGACCCCTCCTTGGGTTTCCGAGGCAGTATCACTGCTGAAGTAGATTGCCCAACCTTCCTTCCAAGGAATGGCTCATGGGTTTGAATAGCCAGCCTTCTGGTTAGCAGTCAAATGCCTTAGGCACTATGTTACCAGGGTTCCCTTCAGAGCTTTAATTTTAAGAAGTCCAACTTATCATTTTTTTCTTTTGTGGACCATTCTTTTGGTTTTGTACCTGAAAACTATTGTCAAACCCACAGTCACTTAGATTTTCTCCTATGTCACCTTCTGTAAATTATATACATTTGTGTTTAACATTTAGGTCTGTGATACATTTTAAGTTAATTTTGATGAAAGTTATAAGGTTTGTGTACAGACTTATTTATTTGTTGCATTGTGTTCTAGCACTACTATTTCTTTGTTGAATTGACTTTTCTCTGTTGTCAAAGGCTAGTGACTATAATTGTGTGGATCTATTTCTAGGCTTTCTACTCTATTCCTTCCATCTAGTTATTTGTCTACTCTTCGACCAGTGGCACACTGTCTTGATCACAGTGGCTTTATAAGGCTTGAAGTCAGGTAGTATCAGCCTTCTGACTTTGTTCCTCTTTAGTATTGTGTTGGCTATTCTGGGTCTTTTGTCTTCACATTTAAAGTTCAGGATCAGTTTCTTGATATCCACACAATAACTTCCTGGGATTTTGACTGAGATTGCACTGATCTATATGTCAAGTTGAAAGGACAGTTGGATATCCATTTGCAGAAAAATGAAACAGGACCCATATCTCACACCATACACAAAAATGAACTCATATTGGATCAAAGACCTGAATGTAAAAAAAGGGGGGCAGGGGTGGACAAACTTAGGGGCCCTAATTCAGGGCATAAATAAATACACTATTGAATACAACTAAAACTACACAAACACCAGAACACAAAACAGATGATTGGGACCTCCTAAAAATTAGATACTTTTGTGCATCAAAAGATCACCAGTAGAGTAAACAGAAAACACGCAGAGTTAGAAAAACATTTTGGCAACTACATATCGGACAAGGGGCTAACCTCTAAAATTTATAGAAAATTTAAACAATTTAACAACAAAGAGACAAATAGTTCAATTAATAAATGGGCAGAGGACATGAATGGACACTTCACCAAAGAAGATTCAGGTGGCCAACAAACACATGAAGAAATGCTCATGATCATTAGCCATTAGAGAGCTGCAAATCAAAACAACAAGGAATATCACCTCACTCCAGCAGTGATAGAAAAATTCAAATAAACAGAAAACAACAAATGCTGGTGAGGGTATGGAGCAACTGGAACCCTCATACACTGCTGGTGGGACTGTAAAATAGTATAAACACTGTGTAAAAGGGTATAGTGCTTCCATAAAAAGCTGGAAATAGAAATATCTTATGATCAAGCAATCCCATTACTAGGTATGTATCCTAGAGAAGTAAGAGCCACGACACAAACAGATATATGCACATTTATGTTCAAACCAGCAAAAAGATGGAAACAACCTACATGCCCATCAGTAGAGGAATGGATCAACAAACTATGACTCATATACACAATGAATACTACACAAAGTTAAAGAACAATGATGACTCTGTGAAACATTTCATAACATGGAGGAATGTAGAAGTCCTTACACTTAGTGAAGTGAGTCATTAACAAAAGGACAAATATTGTATGAGACAGTACTGTAAAAAGTCAAGAAAGTTTTCACACATAAAGAAATATTCTTTGATGGTTACCAGGGATGGGAGCAGGAGGAAGGATAAACCACTAACTAGATGGTGGCTATTAATCAGAAAGTTTACAAGTGTGTTGTTTAATCCTAAAATATTTTGAGATTTTCTACTATCCTTCTGTTACGATTTCTAGACTAAGTTCATTGTGCTTACAGCACATTTTGCCTGATTTCTGGTGTTTTAAATTAATTAGATTGTGTTTTATGGCTCAGGAAGGGGTCCATCATGGTGAATGTTACATGCAGGCATAGGAAGAATGTGTGTTATACTGTTGTTGGAGGAAGTATTCTACAATCGACAATTAGATACAGTTGATTGATGGACCTATTTTTTGGTTATTTTGGTTATTGGTGCTATTATTTGCTATTTATGTTTCTACCATATCCTTATTTTCTGCATGCTGGACCTGTCAATTAGGTACTGATTGAGGCACTGAAGTCTCTAATTGTAATAGTAGATTTTGTCAATTTCTCTTTACAGTTCTATCAATGTCTGCCCCATGTCTTTTGATGCTTCTACATGCATACATATTCAGCACTGCTATATCTTCTTGGAGGAGATTTGGTAGTGTAGTGCCCCAGACATTTGACTGCTAACCAGAAGACTGGTAGTTCAAACCCACCAGTCACTCCTCGCAAGGAAGGTTGGGCAATCTACCACCTCAGAAACCCAAAGAGGGTTCGCTGAGTTGGGTTCAGCTCGATAGCACATAACAACAACATATCTTCTCGGAGAATTGATCCCTTTACCATTGTGTAATGTCCTTCTTTATCTCTTATAATTTCCCTTGCTCTGAAATTTGTTTTGTCTGAAATTAACATAGCTACTCCAGATTTCCTTTGATTAATATTGTTCTTGTTGTTTAAGAAGACTTAAAATACCATGGGCTGCCACAGGAATGAACAAATCTGTTCTGGAAGAACTACAGCCAGAATAATTCTTAGAAGCAAGAATGGCCAAATGTCATCTCACCTACTTTGGGCATGCTGTCAGAAGGGATCAGTCCCTGAAAAATGATATCATGCTTGGTGAAGTAGTGTTGTTGTTGTTATGTGCCATTGAGTTGGATCCAACTTATAGCAACCCCTCCTTGGGTTTCTGAGGTGGTATCACTATGGAAGTATTGTCCAACCTTTCTTCTAAGGAGTGGCTGGTGGGTTTGAACTGTCAGCCTTCTGGTTAGTAGTCAAGTGCCTTGGGCACTACGCTACCAGAGGGGGAAGACCCTCAACAAGATGGATTGACACAATGGCTGCAATGATAGGCTCAATCATAGCAAATATTGTGAGAATGGAGCAACGTTGGGCAGTGTTTTGTTCTGTTGTACATAATCACTGAGTCAGAGCCAACTTGATGGCACCAAACAACAACAGCCATTTTTGACTGTTCAAGTTTAAAGTGATTATTGATAAAATTGGATTAATAGCAATGATATTTACAACTGTTTTCTGTTCATTATGCTTGTTCTTTGCTTCTTTTTCTTTTTCTTTTCTTTTTCATTTTTATCTTCCACTCTTTTCTTGCCTTCTATGGTTTGAACTGAACCTTGTAAAAATTCAATTTTCTCTTAGCATATCAATTATAAACCTTAAGATTTTTTTATTTTAAAGTGGTTGTCCTAGAGTTTGCAATATGCATTAGCAGCATCCACTTTTAAATATGCAGGTAACTTATGTTGGACCACAGGTCTCCCATGTATACGTTTTTATTAAACTGACAAATGAGTTAATTGCAACTTGGTTTCTGCCTCCAAGTTCAACTTAATCATTGTCTTAATTAACTGGTAGCTTTGGATCGCAATAAGACCACTAGTCTTTTCCCAATGGGGTTTATTTACTTTAGTAAGAATTTACATTTCTTTTCAAGGGTATATGGCACAGTGGCAAATGTCTGAGCCTTAAATTCAAATTAGAGCTATCCCAGTAACCCATTTGTGGTTGTGGGCAAGTTATTTCCATCTTTGGTTTCCATTCACATGTAAAATGAGGATGATAGACCAGATGACCTCTTCCTGCTCTGTGTAAGCTCAAAGCTAATCACTGGATGTTTCTTAATTAGCCTACTTAACAAAAAGGAAAACCACTTCCTTAAAACAGCAGACACCCCTTTTCTGCTTTGTCAGTTTTATCCTTTCTGTTCTCTTCATAGACTACATTTTCATTAGTTGCACACTGACTTAAAGATCTCTGCAATTTTGAGCCAGGAAGATACTAACTTCTTGAAATATTGTTCAGATGCCACAAGCTTTGACTTATTTTTCTCTTTCTTTCCCAGAGAATTGGAGAAAGAGCTCCAGAGGTGGGTATTTCTCCCAGCCTGACCATGAATAAATATCTAGCATTTGTGACTATCAGTTCCATTTATAACCAAAAGTATTCCTCTGTAAAGTCCTATTCATGCTCACTAGGTATAAAACCACCACCTGAAGGACTCACAGCCATTCCAGTCAGTCTTCTCACTGTGTCTAGCAGGAGCTCCGGCTTCCCCCCATTCTACTTCTTGTCAATCTTGGACTCCACCTAAAGTCAACAAACATTTTCCAAATCCTAGCTTTGGGTCAGGGGATTATAGAAGGAGTGTGAGGCAGTGTAGATGTCACTGATAAGCTACATGCCGTGCCCTGAAAGTGACCCTACTTATATTAGGGTTGTTGTGTTGCATTGCAACTCTGCAATGAATTCACTCTGTGACTGGTCAACCTTTTTCTTATCTCCAGACCTCAGTTTTTTCATCCATAAAGAAAAAAGTTTGGACCAGATGGTCCCTAAGCCATCTTTAGCTCAACTGTTTAATGATTCTGAATCTGTGGGAGTATTTGCAAAGAGCCATATGAGAAAATAATAACCTCAGAGCTCAGAGATGTGAGAGGGTACTTGCAGCTCAAAAACACAGGGACATTTTTAGAGAATGGACAGCTTCTAAGCTCAACATTTAAAGATGAGTAAGGCTGTTAAGGTGCAAATGGAATACAGGGGAAGAAAGTATGCCAGCTAGCTCAATGCCTCATCCTTATCAATGGGTAGATATTAAAGGATGGAGCTAAAAAAATGTTGGCCACAACAAACACCAGTGAATTGGCCAGAGCAGCTGAAGTGTAGGATGTGTGATGGAGTATTATGAGGGAGAAGATTAGAATGGTAACTTGAGATCAAATTACGGAAACTCTGCATTTTAGTCAAACAAAAAGTCTGGACTTTTGGAAATTGATTAGGAGCTCTGGTGGCATAGTGCCTAAGGCATTTGACTGCTAACCTGAAGGCTGGCAATTCAAACCCACCAGCCACTCCTTAGAAGGAAGACTGGGCAATCTACTTCCATAGTGATACTGCCTCAGAAACCCAAGGAGGGGTCTCTCTGAGTTGGATCCAACTCAATGGCAGTGAGTGGAAATTGATCAATTAGATGAATAATTCAAAGTTGTATTTTAGTGGATTAATAACAGCAGGCAGGGGATACACTGGAGGGGAGAATAATTCAAGATGTACTCACAAGATTATACATTAGTTCAAGAATCAAGAAATGAAGGCTTGAATAAGGGCAATGGCTGGAGAATTAAAAAGGAGTAAATAGAAACAAGAAGAATTAGGACTTGGAGCAATTTGATGAAAGGCCATGAAAGAGAGGGAGGAGTCAAAGAAGGCAGTAAAATTTTGAGAATGAAAGACTAGAAGACCTCACAAATATAATGAAATCAGAAGAGGAACAAATTTTCCAGACCCAGAGGAATTCCATTTGGGGTATACTAAGCTTCAGGAATGTTCAGGTGGAGCTATCCAAGAGACATTCGTAAAATTGGGTCTGAAGTTCAGAAATATAGAGATAATAGTTAAACTAGGGTATGGATGAGATTATCTAGAGGACTCATGTAGAGGGAAAAAATGAGGTCTAAAAATAGAATCTAAGAAGCTCTGGTGGTACAGTGGTTAAAGCATTGGGCTGCTAACTGAAAAGTTCAGTGGTTCTAACCCACCAGATGCTCCTCAGGAGAAAGATGAGGCCATCTGCTTGCATCAAGCTTCACAACCTTGGAAACATTATGGGGCAGTTCTACTCTATCTTATAGGGTCACTTTGCGTAGCAATCAACTCCATGGTAGTGGGTTGGGTTTGGTTTGGTTAAGAATGGAATCTGGGGAATACTTGTTACAAGATGGAGTCATGGGGTCAGAGACTTAAGGAGAAGAAATTATATATTCTTGAGGCAAAGCAGAATCTAAAAGAAAAAGAAAAAAACTAAGGCATAATAGAAGTAAAGACAAGAAAAGATTGTGAAGAAAGAGAGTGCATTAAGTAGTCAGGGAGATAGGAGAAGAACCAGAAGTCTACATGTCTGTAGCTTCGGGAGCTGTAATATCGAGCCATCTGTTAGCCCTGACTTTCTATGGTTTTCCCTCTCAGCCTCATGCAGTGAGCACGATGGTGTGGTCAGAAGGTCAGAGGGAGAACTGCACTTCCCAGAAAACCCCCACCTATATTATGAGAGCAACCAGTGAGTAGCCCCACTCTGCTGTCCCTCCTCTTACTCCCATCTCCAGTCTGCCTGTGCCCCATTATTGGATTGTGATAGTTTTTGGCTAGAAATAACACTCTGTGTATTTGCCTGCAGATCATGTGTCTGGACTCTGTTAGTACCAGAGAAAATGCATGTGTTGCTCAGTTTTTCCCACTTGGATGCAGAGTCTTGTCACCACAATTACCTGTCAATACATTCTTTAGGAGACAGACTTATTGGTGAGTGAATTTTCATATCATCAAATTGAAACTAGTGCTAAGTGGACTTAATGGGGCCTGGTTACAACATGCCTGGCACTGAGGCATCTATAAATACCATACTTCTAGCACCAATTTTGAGACTCAGAATTGGGAGTGGGAAGGAACTAAATCCAAGCCCAGAGTAATAGCTCTATGTGGTGGCTACAAGGCTGCAGGGCATTTTACTCCCTGCATCTGCCTCCCTTTGAACCAGGCTTTCTAGACCAATTTGGTAGACCTGGAACCCATGAGGAGTAAAATCTAGACATAACGTAGGGCCTCTCAAGCAGGATGCTACTTTTCTAGCATGGGAATGACCTTACCTCATCAACTACAAAGAAAAACACTGATAGACAACTATGAAAAAGAGATATATTAGACATGGAAATGGAGTAAGGTTTCCGTGGTTCTCAATTAGGGGTGATTTTGCCCACAGGAAATAGCTGGCAGTGTTGGAAGCATTTTGGATGGTCACAACTGTGGAGGTTCTGCTAGCATCTAGAGGTGTTTTGGTTACCTAAACCACTCTGACAGAAATAGACCACAAATGGGATGGCTTGAAGAAACAGGAGTTTATTCTTACAATTTGGAGGCTTTAAGTCCGAGTTCAAAGTGTCAGGCTCTAGGGGCTGGGTGAAAGCCCCTCAACCTTGAGCTTCAGCTCTGCCTCCTGCTCCTGGCCCACTAAAGCTGGAGGCTTTTTTTCACTCAGCTGCTGGCTGCTAAGGCTGACAAGCCCAAGGTCGACAAGTGAAAAGGCACAGTCCCGATGTTAACCAAACCACATGGCAGGCCATTAATTCAAGTCCGTTAAAAGTCCCAAGATCAGCAGAGCACGGCAGGCTGTTGAACAACAACTCGACTACATGCAGAGTTCAAGCGAGCCATAAGCTGGAGACCATTCTCAAAGCTGCTTCTTATAGACAGGAAGCAGACCACATCCCTAAAGCAGCTACTCAGCTGCTTGTGGTAGATCCCACCCTGGAGTTGATTGCCAGTCTCATCACGGGGAATAACTACCACCAGCTGTCCAGCCAAGCTGACACACAACCTTAACTACCGTAAGAGAATAGAGCCCAGGAATGCTAACAAGCACCCTACATCTCATAAAATAGCCTCAGTTCAAAGAATGTTCTGGTACAAAATGTCATTAGTGTTGAGATTGAGAAACCCTAGTTATTTATATAATCCTATAGTATCATGTCAAGTGAAGTTCTTCTTAAATCTTTTAACAGATACTGTGTTTTATATTCTGAAACCATCTTCCTTCTCATGTTTCAGGAAAATTCTGTGGAGAAAGTCTCTTTTCATCTGTTTGCATTGGCTCTGACTCTATAAGGCTGAAGTTCATCTCTGATATGACAGATTATGCTACTGGGTTCAATCTCACAAAGCTCTTAAACCAAACTATCTTCCTGGTAAAACCATTTACTTGTATCACATACTTCCCAGGCTTTTTGTAAAACTTTAGACCCCATATGAGGGGCTGGGGGCACCATCTCAAGACCTGCTGGGCTCCACAGTGGATGCAAAGTCTAGAGAGCAGACACCCCTGTTTCCTTCTATGCCTTGCTAACTCACTCTCCTTGCACATTCAGGAGAGTTCAGAGGGCCTGAGGAGTTCTGGAAAATCAGTGCACAAACCTCTTCTTGTTGGTTCTGCGTGAAGATTCATTTCTGGGAAACAGGAGAGAGAACAAAAAGGATCCCTCTTCGTCTGGGTGATGCTATTTGTCTGGATGTTTTTTCTTGTGTTTCAGATTCAGGTTGTGGTTCCTTAGTTGTCCTTTTTGAAGAGAGAGCCTCATACAGAGTCTTCACTATCCTGAAAACTACAGTAACACGGCTAACTGTAACTGGATTTTTCAAGCCCTGAAACATTATCTAATTAAGGTACAAACTTTGGTTAACCTTACTTTGCTATAGTATCTCCACAGAATAGTTAACATAAGCACCAGGAAAGCAGAGGCTTTCATGCAATTCATTCACTACTATGGCGTAGTGCCTAAGGCATTTGACTGCTAACCAGAAGTCTGGTGGTTCAAACCCACCACCCACTCCGTGGAAGGAAGACTGAGCTAGATCTACTTCGGTGGTGATACTGCCTGAGAAACCCAAGGAGGGGTCACTACGAGTCAGAAACGACTCGATGGCAGTGAGTTTGGTTTATATCCGTAATACCTAGAACAAAGACTGGCACACAAGACTCTCAATAAATAAACAAAAACAAAAACAAAACATTCTCTCTGAGGTGATTTCAACTTACAGCAAACACTTGCTGAATGATGGATGTTTCTTTTCCCCAGCAACCACATTTTTTCCCCTGCAACCACTCACTTTCACCACTAGGTGACACTTGTGCTCTTTACTTTTTGTTGAACGCTGCCTTAATCTTTGTACCTGGTGATTTGTCTCACCTAGTCTCTAGCCCCTTCTAGAAACAAGCATTTTCTTTCTTATTAAATTGCTAACAAAACACCTGTAAATAATGGATAGCAATCATCAAGCCTTCCAAGCAGAGGGGACAGAGTCAGTGAGCAAAGAGGAATCAGTACAGAACAGGTTCAGGAAATCCCTGCTTTAATTGAGTTGTAGGTGTTCTGAGAAGGGTAGTGGCAAAAGAGGCTACAGTCACTCAAAGTATAGAGGGCTTTGACTGACAGGAATGGAGTCTATGACATTCAACTAGTAGTGTTTGCTGTTGTTTGTTTATTAAGCACGAGGCCATCTAAGGAGCCCTGGTGGTTAAGTGCTTGGCTGCTAAACGAAGGTTGGCAGTTTGAATCCACCAGCTGCTCCACAGGAGAAAGATACAGTAGTTTACTAGTGTAAAGATTATAGCCTTTAATTTAAAGAGAATGAGAACTGAGAATTATAGCTTTGGAAACCCTGAGGGGGAGTTCTAGTCTGTCCTATAAGGTCACTATGAGTTGGACTGATGGCAATGAGTTTGTTTTTTTTTAATTTTTGGTTTAGCCGGCCATCTGTAGAGGTGTTACCAGGCAGTGAAATGGAGTGAAGTTGGAACTGGACATTTATTTATAAGTCTTTCTCTTGAAATAATAATTGAAAGTAACAGAATATATGAAGGAGAGAAAGTAGGGACGGATAGGCCCACAAAACTCTCTTATATTTAAGAGACTCAACTAAACCCACTGCCGTCGAGTCGGATCCAACTCACAGTGACCCCTCCTCGGGTTTACGAGGCAGTATCTCTACAGAAATATATTGCCCAACCTTCCTTCCGAGGAGTGGCTGGTGGGTTTGAACCACCAGCCTCCTGGTTAGCAGTCAAATGCCTTAGGCACTATGCCACCGGAGCTCCTAGACTTACTCATATATGTGCCAAATATCAGAACTTGTAAGTGAGGCATGGAGATTTATTGGCAGCAAAAGAGAGCAGGTGGAACAGGAGTCAGAAATATTCTGCCAGGTGGACCCAGCTGGCAAGACATAGTCTCTAAGGGGCATAACCACCTTCAGTCTTGATTTAGAAGAACAGGAAGTTCAGGATGAAGTATCTTAGTTACCTACTGCTGCCAATAACACAAATACTACAAGTGGATGACTTTAAAGAACATAAACCCATTGTCTCACAGTTTTGGAGGCTAGAAGTACAAAACAGGTCATCAACGATAGGTAAGGGTCCTTCCTTGTTGGTAGCCCTGGGTATTTCTTGGTATTCCTTGGCTTGCAGATGGTTCCTCACATAGTCTCTTACCTCCACTCCCTTGGTATGGGTTTGTGTGTGTGTGTGTTTAGGTTTAGGGTCCACGTTGCTGTGGCATAGCCTCATTAACATAACAAAAGAAAACCTCTATTTCCAAACAGGGTCATATTCCAAGTACAGGGATTAGAAGTTCAACGTGACACTTTGGGAAACACAATTCAACCTGTAACAAATACTAAAACATTCAGAGAAGTAGCTGTATGTCCGGGGGGGGGGGGTCCTACCATAACCCAAAGACTACCTGGTTTCAAAGGAAAAAAATCTCCATGGGGTGGCTCTTCTGGTCTCTTAGAATTACTAGGGATCTCAAATACTTGCATATTTCCCCACCCTTAAATTCATCTCATATTTGTTAGCTTAGATGTTTTAGAAGTTTTGAGAACCTGTGATATAGCACCTTTCCCTCAGTATTTTATTCCACTCATGAATCAAGAGTGTTTGAAGAGAAGCCAGGATACAGACCAACTTTCTTATCTTAGATCGTATTCCAGAGCATGTTGAGCAATCTGGAATTTCTCTGCTTGATCAAAATCAAGTAACTCAATCATATTATTTACTCTCAATGTAATGTTGGATCTTCTCAGCTTTCATTTCAGAGTCTGGAAATAGAAGACAGTGGAGACTGCACTACTGACTATGTGACCGTGCACAGGGATGTGGAAAGGAAGAAGGAAATAGGTTTGTGTCCCTGTGGAGGCTTAGTGTCCTATGGTTTGGACTCAGCCTTGAGACTTGAGATAAAAAGGAGTTGGCTCAATTTTCCTTCACTCCCCTGCACCACCTCCATACCTCCCTATGCTCTCATCTTTATTTCTCTACATCATAGGACAAGAAGAGAGAGAAGTAGATTCGAAGAACCATTTGAATGGCAAATGCAGAAAGCCCTCAAAGAAGTAGGCATAGGTAGGGCCAAGTGTCACTGAAATAAGCTATTTGGCCAGAACCAATTAATTCCCTTGGCATTTCCACTGGGAGTGCATGGGAAATGAAACAGAATTAACATGTTGATGGAGTTAAATATATATTTTAAAGAAGCAAACTGTCTTTCTCTTTCAAAAATGAATTATGACATTCATCTAAAAAGATTAATTCTCAACAAAATAAAAAAAATTCTTTCTCCTTTGCAATGCCATGTTTATTTGCCTGGCACTTGACATCCTGTCTGGACTTGGTTTGAGCTAGCTCGGTTGTGTGGCTTTACGTTCCCTGCCCCTGTGCTGAGCTCCTCCCGTGTAATGTTCATCAGTTTCCAATCAGATGAAAACATGACCTTCAGAGGCTTCCAGGCTACAATCTCCTTCATTTCTGAAACAGGTAAGGAGACAGAGGCACTGTGATAGTTGAAGATGTGTCAACTTGGCTGGACTCCAGTTGTGAGTGGTGGTTCCCATGATGGATCACATGACTGCGTTCTAAGCGGCTGGTCGGCCTAGGGGGAGTTTCCCCAGGGGTGTGGCCTACCTGCAATACTATCCCAGGGACAAACTGGAAGAACGGCATT